TGCTGCTGCTGATGATGAGATAATGATGATGCTGATGATGATGATGATGATGATGACGGTGATAATGATGCTGATGATGCTGATGCTGATGGTGATGTGGCTGCTGCCGCTGATGATACTGATGATGATGCTGATGATGATGCGGATGATGATGCTGATGATGATTATGACGATGCTGCTGCTGCTGATGATGAGCATCATCATCATGATGCTGCTGCTGATGATGATGGTGCTGATGCCGGTGATGATGATGCAGCTGCTGCTGATGCTGATGCTGCTGCTGATGATGAGGATGCTAATGCTGATGCTGATGCTGATGCTGCCGACGACGACGATGATGATGCTGGCGTTGATGCTGGCGTTGATGATGATGATGATGATGATGGTGATGATGATGATGATGATGATGATGATGATGGTGATGGTGATGCTGATGCTGATGAGTATGATGCTCATCATGATACTGCTGATGCTGGCGATGATGATGACGACGATTATGATGCTGATTATGCTGATGATGATGATGACGATATTGATGGTGGCGATGTTGAGGATGATGATGCGGACGATGGTGATGATGCTGATGATGATGATGCTGATGGTGAATACGACGATGCTGCTGATGATGCTGCTGATGATGATGCTGTGGCTAATGCTGCTGCTGATGATACTGCTGATGTTGATGCTGATTGTGTTGACGGTGGTGATAATAATGATGGGAAGGATGATGCGGATGGACGCAGATGATGACGATGCGGCACCGTACGAGAAGGAGGCGGGGGTGACGATGAGGAGGGCGAGGGCGAGGAGGAGGAGGAGGAGGCGGGGAGAGTGAGTCGAGGGATCATGATGATAATGAGGATGATGATGATGCTGATGGTGAAGATGATGATGATGGCGATGATGATGCTGATGATGAGGATGATGCTGAGGCTGATGATGCTGCCGATGATGTTTCTACTGATGATGATGCTGATGGCGGTGATGATGGTGATGGTGATGCTGCTGCTGCTGATGATGATGATGATGCTGCTGATGTTACTGATGATGCTGCTGCTGATGATGATTCTTATGATGATGACGGTGATGATGATGATGATGATGCTCCTGTTGCTGCTGATGATGCTGGCAAGTAGCATGGTGCTGATGATCTTAATGCTGCTGCCGGTGCTGACGATGATGATGATGATGATGATGATGATGATGATGATGATGATGATGAGGATGAGGATGAGGATGGTTATGATGATTGTGATGGTGCTAGTTATGGTGATGATGCGCTGATGCTGGTGATGCTGCTGCTGATGATGATGATGCTGATGCTGATGCTGGTGCTGATGCTGCAGTCGACGACGATGATGCTGACGTTTATCATGATGCTGATGCTGATGACGGTGATGCTGCTGAGAAGGCTGAGGATGATGATGATGATGCTGATGACGACGACGAGGATGATGTTATTGTTGATGATGATGCTGATGATGACGGTGATAGTGATAATGATGATGCTGATGATTGATGGTGATGATGCTGATGATGATGTTGATGATGCTGCTGACGCTGCTGATGATGCTGCTGATGATGATGATGACGGTGGTGCTGGTGGTGGTGCTGGTGCTGATGATGCTGATGATGCTGATGATACTGGTGATGCCGATGATGACGATGCTGATGACGATGATGCTGATGCTGATGCTGTTGCTGATGATGATGCTGATGCTGATTCTGCTGATGATGACGATGATGATGCTGATGATGATGATGGTGATGGTGATGGTGATGATGATGGTGATGCTGATGATGCTGCTTATGATGATGCTGATGCCGCTTCTGATGATGATGATGGTGATGTTGTTGTTGATGATCATGATGATGGTGATGATGGTGGTGATGATGCTGCTGATGATGATACTGATGATGCTGCTGATGATGATGGTGCTATGATGATGATGCTGATGATGATGCTGCTGATGATGATGCTGATGATGCTGATGATGATGCTGCTGATCATGCTGATGCTGCTGATGATGATGGTGACGATGCTGATGATGATTCTGCTGCTGCTGCTGATGCTGCTGCTGCTGCTGCTGCTGATGATGATGATGATGATGATGATGATGATGATGATGATGATGATGATGATGATGATTGTGATGGTTATGGTGATCATGATGATGCGTCTGCTGCTTCTGCTGAGGAGGATGAGGTGGAGGAGGAGAAGGGAGAGGAGGAGGATAACGAGGGGGAGGTGGAGGAGGGGGAGGAGAGGGAGGAGGAAGAGGAGGAGGAGGAGAAGGAAGAGGAGGAGAACGAGGAGGAGGAGAAGAAGAAGGAGGAGGAGGAGGGGGAGGAGGAGGACGAAGCGGATACGGAGACGAAGGCGGCGGCGGCGGCGGCGGCGGCGGCGGCGGAGGAGGAGGAGGAGGAGGAGGAGGAGGAGGAGGAGGAGGAGGAGGAGGAGAATGATGACGTGGAGGAGCTTCGGCCGCAGGTCTGAGCAGGTGTAGGAGGTGGGCAGCGGGTGGGGGAAGGAGA